CTACCACACATCTCCCCAACCCCTTCCACCCTTATTCCACCCCTTTCCCACCTACCGATCCGATTCTGGTAATTTATTACCGTTGCACACATGCACGACATTCCGAAAGTCATCTAAACAGCATTGAATAAAATGATTTTCATAGATGACAACGTACCAGTCTGAAGGTGAATTTCAAACAGAAAGGTACTCTGATCATATACTTGGTGTTTTCAGATAACAATACACGTTTCATTTCATTAATTGATAATTATTTTAATGCACTAATGTATTTTACTTGCATTACAGGATAATTTAACCCTAAAAATCACCACTGCGCATGAACGATAAAATAATTACATTAGAATGAAAAAAAATACTGAAATTAGAACATTATAATCTTAAATTCTATTAATTAGATGAATTATTTCTGTTCTGCACATGCGTGACATTTGGAAAGTCATATAAATCACATTGAATAAATGCAGTTACATAGATGACCACTTGTCAGTCTGAAGATGAATTTCGAAGAGGATGGTACTCCGATCGTATACTCGGTGTTTTTAAACATCAATTAACATTTCTTTCGATTTATTAACAATTATTCTAATACTCTAATGCATTCTACTTACAGGAACATTTTACTGATTATATTTTTATAAACCCCGTTAAAAGACTTTCATGTTTTTAATCTGACATATCAAAGATTTAATCTAAGATTAAATTAGAAACAACACATATGCTCTTCTACGAAACTTGTAATCCTGATTTATGTTGTTTCTGACCGCCCACTAAAAGATATATCATACTTGTATATTGTTTCGAAAAAAAAAAATAAAATAAAATACAAAAACATATTAAAAATCTATGATGGTAAAACTAATTCCCGTTAGGTCGGTCCTAGTAACGGAAACACTTATGACCTAATTCTTACATCCTTAAAGGTCATATTATTTTAATAATAAAATATAGTTCCCTTTGATATTTATTTTCTTAAATTTCAACAACAACAACAAAAAAAAGAAATTATTCTCTATGATAAAAAAAAAAAAAAAAGGAAAAATATCAAACGGTACTTAAATAACTCAAACAGTACTTCAAAACTTTAACTTAGAACGTGATATACCTACTTTAAGGATGTTTATTAAATTGCAGCTGTCCAAATGTATGTGAAAATAGTTCAAATGGGGCCCGACAAAAATAAACAAATAGAAAAATAATTGATAACCAACAGATTTTAGTTTTATAATCTAACAGTTTGTTTACAACTAAAAGATAAGAGAAGGAAAAAAGATAAATAGATGTGAATTATCTAAAAAAAAAAAAAAAAAAGCGTTTATAGATCTTACAAAAAAAAAAAGAAAAAGAAAAATAAAAAGAAGAAAAATTTCCTCAATCATTTTCCACGAAGCAGGAGAAAATCCTCTACGAGTGACGTGAGATTTTTCTTATCGTTCATATTGAAAAAACGTAATATATGACGTAAAACATAAACGCCTAACTTACACACATGCGTACGTGCATAGATGCGTGATATGTATGTGTGATTGTACCGGGCGTACAAAATATTATTTTAAAAAAATCTTATAAAGAAAATAATATTAATAAAAGAAAACAATGTTTTTTTTTTTGTTTTTTTTTTCATCAAATATGATCAACTGTAAAATAATGTAAGATTTTTTTCGTAAATATTTTTGTGCATTTTTTTGTATTGTAAAACTAAAAATTACAGAAATTATTTGCAAAGTTTGTTAGTTGAATATTTTGTCGAATATTTTTTCTTATTTTTACCATAAAATGAAAAATTATCGAAACAATTACAAAATATATTAGTTAATAATTATATATAATTATTTTATTTAATATAATATATAATATAATATAATATAATAATTATATATTATTATTATAATTATATTCTATAATATATAATTTATTGGATAATTTTTCTTTTATATTTTTAACCATAAAATTAAAAATTATAGAAAGTATTGCAAAGTTTATTAGTTAAATATTTTTAATAATTTTTCTTTTATATTTTTAGCCACATAAAATTAAATATTACTTGAACGTATTAACAAGTATTAAATATTACAAGAAATATTGTTAGTATATTCGGTATCACCCGGTATAAATAAATGTATATATATATATATATATATATATATATCATAACGTCGATGATTTTAATTATTTATGAGAGGAAGATGTAAGTGTATAATCACGTTAGAAACGTGGAAAGAAATATTGCAAGAACGAGACAGTCAATGGTTGCTTGTGATCGATCAATGTCACTTGGATCTCTACTATACATCTTTTTGTTAATCTTATTTGTCCTGTCTTTTTTCATCTATGTTTCTATCTCATTCTTTCTATCTTTCTTGGAATAGACTAGATATATATATAACACCAATCGTGCCATTAACGATACGAATTATTAAATCAATTCGAGAAGCTAGATACATTCCGTCATTTTATAAATCTTCTAATTATATAAGACTACTTTAACACTTCTATGATACTGTTCTATTCATTTTGTCTCATTAATTGCAATTAGTAATCATTTATACATATATATATATATATGTATATAACAATTTTAAATACATAATATATATATATATATATATATATAACATAAACTTTGAAAATGAAATATCTTTATTTTAATTTGAATAAAATAATGGCTGCTA